GCCCTGCCTAGCATGCTAGTTTCTCTGCACCATCTGCTCCACTGCCCTCCTGCTCCCATACCTGGCCGTGGAAGGCAAACCTGTCATTATCAGAAGATAAGGCACACGATATGTTTTTGTTTGTTTGTGTGCTGATCCAAGCATATCTGCCAACTTCCCTCTCTGTTGCCCTCTGTGCTTTCGCTGCTTTTAGTAAACCTCCCTGGGACAGCAGCATTATCTGCTAAGTCCCACTTTGGTTGTAAATGGAATTTGAAAGCAAAGGAGAAACTTTGAGATAAATGACCAAACGATTAAATATTTATAGCTACTGTACTTGTTGCATCCATGTGCTTTCTTAAACAGAGTATCTTGCCAATGTATCTTTTTCTGTTGTGTATCTCAAGTTAAAATTAGATTATGGTAATGCCTCCACACTAGCAATAGCTGAGGAGTGGTTATGTTTTCAGGTTGTCCAGTACATCTGTCCTACTCATTTTCGTAAGCGTGATATGAGTTATATAGGACTGCATTGAGGGGATTTCTTTAGAATTTGGTGGTCAAAGGAAAAAGTCACTGTTACCTTCCACCTAATTGTCTGTCCCTTTTTGAAGGCTGATGAAGGATTATGCTGGCAGTTTTTGAAATGACCACTGCAGTCACAAATGATTACATCCAACATTGGGTATAGCCTCTGCAATGAGCCCCTCTTAGCATCGTTCAGAGAGGTGTTCAGGGACAGCTATTGTCCCACAAGAGAGTGGACATGTTATGGAGTGGAGAGAAAGGGAAAAGCAGAGGTGATGGTGTTATTTAGTTGCAAAGTGCTTTTTCTCATGTCAATTTCCTCTGTCCTGAACAAAAGGGCTTGGAGAGGGAGATAATGTGACTGGGCTCTCGTGGGGAAAGGTTACCTATACTGTTCCCCGTCAGCTGATCGCACGAGACAGTATGCTGCAAGTTCCATAATGTCTATAGGCTTCCACTTGTTATGCTACTGAATTAGCCAAGGGTCATCAGCGATGAGAAGAGGCAAACACACAACCTGTATCCAAGATCATCAAGCAGACGTGCACAGACTGAAATGGATAGTCAGAAACACACTCACTCAGCTGAAGATTCCTAACCCACTTGCTTTTAGAGCACATCTGTATTCTGATGATACTGGACACAAGTTGACAGTGGAAACAGCTGCTGGCCCTCACACTTTATCACAGCCAATATTACTAAAAATTACTGCGAGACAACATTGCACTTTCATCTGCCACTAGGTTGAATCACGGACACGAGAGATTCTTCCAGAATCATGAAGAACAGGCCCAAACATCTGCAGACACTTGAACTCACGTTACCCCTCATACAAACAAACACAGATACATTGCTGTCAACCTTTCCAAACCCTGTGGTCGATTTATTATGCTCTTCTCTGGCTGTCAGGAGTCTGTCAGTCTGACCAAAAGAGGTGATCAATCTCTAAAATACTATCTCATTAACCTTTTAAAGGGATCACTATGGATTATTTCTATACATATTAACCATGTTGCTCTTGTCTGAAATCAACCCAGCACCATTTGTATAGGTCAAAGCCCATAAGAGGATGAAGAGGGGTGAAGCTGATTTCCTGTCACCTTCCTTTTGTGTGTTTTTTTTAAGGTTCCGACTCCTTTCTCATATTTAGTGTTGTGTTCCACCTTTTTTCTAGTTTGTATTCATGTCTGGCAACCTGTTTGTAATTATATTTTATTGTTGTGTTTTTTTGGGTGATTATTGTTTCATCCAATACCAATTGTTATTTGCTCTTACTGCCTTTCAACATTTCTCCCTAGTAATGGCTTGCTGCGCACATTATCTAGCTTGAAATACCTCATTATCTTTTCATTACACGAAAATAAAAGCCGGTTCAGTGATTTTTGTTAAGGTGGATTTGTTTCTCTCCCCCGACTAATGCAGATTTGTTATGACTCAGCTGGCACTATTGCTTTTATAGAATATATAGGATTTGCATTAAGTAAAACTCTAAATGTAAAAAGTAATACAGTGTGACTCACATACTTTGGTAGTTGTGTGTGTTTCAGCCCTGAAATGGACATGACTTTCGCTGACTCGGATGTAAGAACCCAGTATTGAAAATAGAAAAATATATATATAAAACATGCGGTAAAGGGAAAACACTGTATTGAGGTAAAGGGATCAGAAGAAAAGAGAAAGCAGAAGAGAGAGTTAAAAGCCATTGACCTGCAAGAAGAACGATAGTTACGGCTGTAACTACGGTTCTATGAGTCCCGGATGACCGCCAGAGGCGGTGCTTTCAGCACTTGATATGTCCATCGCACGCATGCGCAGTTCGAGTACCAATAACAACAAAGTCACCTGTGACCCACGTGACTACGGCTACATAGGCCGGCGTCATTAGTGGATCGGTTCCCAGAATCTTCTCTCGAGCACACAAGAATTCTGAGTGACCGGAAACTCTGGCGGTCATCCGGGACTCATAGAACCGTAGTTACAGCCGTAACTATCATTCTATTTCGTCCCTACTGACCGCCAGAGGTGGTGCTTTCAGCACTGGATGACTATACCAACCATGTCATGAAGAATCCGAACCCTTGCTTACCTAGCTGGAAGCAGCGGAGCTCGGCAACAGGACCACGCCCAAAGGATGGGGAGTGGCGACATTGACCCGGTAGTACCTGGAGAATGTGCTAGACGATGCCCACGATGCCGCAGCGCAGATGGTCTCCAGGGACACCCCTCTCAGGGCAGCCCAAGACGTTGAGATGCTCCTTGTAGAGTGACATCTCACCCCCTGATGGCGGGGGGCGGCCACTGGCCCCATAGGCATGTGAGATTGTATCCACAACCCAGTGGGACAGCCGCAACTGTCGTATATGGGCCGTAGCACCAATATACGCCTCTAGGGCACGCACAGTGCACAGCAACTCAGGCGTGCCGTTCTCCTGTGGGACGTTAAAGCGCGCCAGCTGGATAGGCCGATTGGAGTGGGCTAGTGGAAGCACTTTGGGCAGGAACGCCACGTTCGGCCAGAGGGCAACACCCGAGCCATCGGAGTTCCACCTCAGGCATGTATCGCTCACGGAGAGGGCATGTAGCTCTCCAACTCGTTTTCCCCTGAGATCATGGCAAGCAGAAATGCTGCCTTCAGGGACAGCCACTTAAGCTCCACCTGGGCTAGAGGCTCGAAGGGAGGAGATGACAGGGCATCCAGCACTAGGAGCAATTCCCAAGCCGGAGCCCTCGGGGTGCTAGGGGGATGCTGCCGTAAAGCCCCTCTCAGGAAGAGGGACACCAACCTGTGGCACCCCGCCGTGGCGCCGTCGACCCACTTGTCGAAGTGAACCGCGGTTCCACCGGTGTCGTGTCCGTTTCAAGTCCTCCGCAGCGTCAAACGCCCGGAGGTGAGAGACCAGTGTGACCCTCCCCGCCCGCGCTACCCGCGGTAAGGTAGGGCGTCCTCTGGCCAGTTGTATCCACCGTCGCCAGAGAGTCCCACCCCACGCATGCCGCCCCGTCCCTGGCAAGTCCCAGCACCCAACGGGTCCCCCCCCCACGAGCGTACAAGTTGAACCGACTCCGAAAACCACAACGTCGAACGTGAGTGCCGTGAAAAGTGGGGTTGGACCCCCCGTTCCTTTACACGGCACAAGGAAACCGCGGTACATGCGACCCAAACGGCTGTCGTTAGGGAAGACTAATCCCCGGCAAAGAGTGAGGTGAGACTTAAAATACCGACCGACGAGTAGAAGACG